TTCTCTGTGTAGCTTTGCACCTTTCCTGGATCTTGCTTTGTAGACCAGGCTGGCCTTGAACTCACAGAGATCCGCCTGCCTCTTGCCTCCTGAGTGCTGGGATTAAAGGAGTGCACTTCCACTGCCCAGCTCGTCTTCCATTCTCAAGATTAATGAAAAAAAAAAAACCTGCTTGTGAAATGGAATCTTTCAGGACAATAAAACAAAACACAAAAATCCCAGCCATTGTTTTATACAATAGAGGAATGTAGAGCGGGACACAGTTTGACTCTGACACGGTGAAACCATCTTGTGGGCAAAGAACACTTCAAAGCAAAGCAAAGGAGTAATGATGCAAGAGCATCAGACCGGGGCCACGTCCTTAGGCCAAGAAGATACAAGCATGGAGAGTGTAGCATCTCTGGAGACTGTAGTTACTCTATTAATACATTAAGAAAATGCCCATGGGTGCACAATTAGCAAGTGGAGCCACCATGTCTAAAGCCAGGCTGTCTGGCTCCAGCCTGTGCCCTCAGTTCTGAAATGCAAATGCAGTCCAAACTTCATTAGACCCTCCAGCACAGCGGCAAATGCCTCCCTGTGTAGTTGCCATTAGAAGCCAGGCTCACACTAATAACCTGCTCTGAAAGATTCTGTGTCCACCAAACCATAGTTTGGGTTATGAGTCTTCGTGGTTTGAGAGATGTACTGCAGGATTTTAACACGGAAAAGTTACTTTCTCATTTTGTCCCAGAACTACATTTTATGCTCAGGGAGACAACCAAATGTTTGTGCACATCCCCTCACCACTCTCCTTCTTTGATGTATACATTCATTTGTGATTGGCCATCAGCTTCCATAATTCACTAAGTCTTGTATGGACATCTTGCCGCGCCACTATTTATACATTCATTTGATTGGCTGCCTATCACACTTAAATAATTCCCAAATGGCTAATTATATAAATCTCTTTTTAATATGACTATTTGGGAGGAAATTATAGGAAAACGTTGCTGGGAATTGAAAAGGCACAAGTAACATTCATCTAATCTCTTAACTGCTTGTCTGCAGGCCGAGAGGCTGTGGCTTGTGTGAGGGGTTCCTAAGGTTCGTCTGACTCGAGTATCTGGAAGCTTCTTCATCCGATCTTCCTCCTGGCCATCCTGAAGAGAGCTTGAGCAAACAGAGAGATGGGATACTGAAGTATTGAGAAGCCAGGATGTCTAGTTATTATCAAGTGTGACTGATTTCACACTCTAGACTTGACATTCAATCTTACAGGTGGGATTTATGTAAAAAATTGCATTCCCTTTAAAGATACTGCAAAATAGTTCTGACTTTTTCAAAAGATTTCTCTTTCAAAATTTGTGTGTGTGTGTATGTGTGTGTGTGTGTGTGTGTTTGTGTGTGTGTGTGTTTGTGTCTGTGTGTGTGTCTACCATACATACTCAGGTACCCGTGATAATCAAAGGAGGAGGTTGGATTCCCTGGAGGTGGAGTTACAGAACTTGTGAGCTGTCCCTGTGGGTACTGGGAACCAAACTTTGGCCTTCTGAAGAGACACAGGTGACCACCAAGCCATATCTTGGTCTCGACACCTACTTTAAATCAGGAGCTTTCAGAGGGGCAAAAGAGGAGACACATTGGCAGAGAGTTCTACCAATGTCTCTGAGTGTTGACTGTGCTCAGAAAGAATGGTGGCACCTGGCCACATTCAGGTGGCATCCTTAGAAATGCTCTACAAGCCACGCTGAACTGGTACCAGGTGAGGAGGGACTCTAGATGGTGCTCATGGGGCTTTCCAGGCTCTTGTACCCATAACAACAAATTAGACAGGAATATGCTGGAGAGCAGAGAGAGTTTATCAAGAAAGAGATTCCAAGCAAGAAAGTGGGTTGGGGCTGTGAGAAAAGCTTAGAAGGCCATAGGCTCAGACATGGCTCAGTTATTATCTTGGTTATTCTTTTATTTATGGGATACCATGACCAAGGCAAATTATAGAAAAGAGGGTTTATTGGGACTCACAGTCTTGGAGGGTGAATCTGTGTGGTGGTTTGAAAGAAAATGGCCCCCAAAGAGAGTGGTACTATTAGGAGGTGTGGCTTTGTTGGAGTGGGTGTGGCCTTGTTGGAGGAAGTGTGTCACTGTGGAGGCAGGCTTTGAGGGCTCCTATATGCTCAAGATACCACCCAGTGTCTCAGACCACTTCCAAGATGTAGGACTTTGAGCTCCAGCACCAGGTCTGCCTGCACATCACCATGTGGCACATGATGACAATGGACTGAACCTCTGAAAATGTAAGCCACCCCCAATGAAATGTTTTTCCTTTATAAGAGTTGCTGTGGTTATGGTGTCTAAGACAGTCTGTGACGACCATGATAGGGAGCATGCCAGCTTGCCTTGAGTGAGAGATTCCATTCAAAACTTGGAAAGTAGCAGTGTTAGAAGACATACTTGAAATGGAAGAGTCTGAGAGACAGCCGCCATATCCAGCACTTTGGAGAGGCCTGAAGGAGTGAGAGCACTCAGAGAAATCCTAGGAACAAAGATGACTTAAGACTTCTATAGATGTTTCAGGGAGTGACGGGAATTTCCACAGCACATGATTTAATGTGTTGTAGCCTATGTGCTAAGGGGCAGATAACAGCTACATTTGTAAACTTACCTTGCAGTTTTGTGAGGGGAAAGGCTTCAGGGCTACAGTGTGACATGGTTTCTTAACTCTGTCTGAAGGGGTGGGTTGGGTGGGAGGGGTGGAGACCCAGCTGGAGGGTGTATGATCTGATGAGTAGGAAAGGGAGAGGGAAAGCTGGAGCACCTATGAGCTAGCAAATCTCACTGGAACCTGCTGTAAAGACACTCACTATAAATGATCCCCAAACCCAAAGTACTGGGAAAGAAAAGTCCCTATCGGTTATCACTGGGCTTTTAACCTAAATCTCTCTGTCTATCTGTCTTTGTGTCTGTGTCTCTGTGTGCTTGCTGTGTGCATGCATTCTTATGTGTGCAGAGTTTTCATGCCCACGAATGCTGCCTCTGTCATGGTGATCATGACAGTACAGCTCTTCTCCAGGTCCCTTAGGGAAGGCTCCCACCCTCCCTCCCCAAGGCTCTATCATGCCACTTCTGGTACAGCTCCCCATTTCTCCTGAAATCTTGTTTTGGACATATGTGATGCATGTGTGTGGTATTTTCCTTCATGTTCACATGAGTGTGGCTGCACATGTATGTGAGCATGTGTGCAGAGGTCAGAGGATGATGTCTTCTATTTATCTGACTCTTCCCTTTATTTACTGAGTCAGGGCCTCTTATTGAGCTTAGAATCTGCCCATGCAGCTAGTGGAGTGAGCCATCTTATTTGGGGAGTCTCTGTTTCTGCTGCCCAGCATGAGATTCCAGATGCATGGCTACACCTGCCCAGCATGAGATTCCAGGTGCATGGCCACACCTGCCCAGCATGAAATTACAGGTGCATGGCCACACCTGCCCAGCATGAGATTCCAGGTGCATGGCCACACCTGTTCAGTGTGAGATTGCAGGTGCATGGCCACACCTGCCCAGCGTGAGATTGCAGGTGCATGGCCACACTTGCTCAGTGTGAGATTGCAGGTGCATGGCCACACTTGCCCAGCACCTATGGATGCTGGAGATCGGAAGTCAGCTCCTCACATTGAATGGCAAGTGCTTGACCCATTAAGCCAATGCCCCAATCCCCTTATGAATTTTATTTTTAATTTTTATACTTTCTCTGAAATTTTTATTCTTACTATCTCCGTCTTTAGCCTTTGATTTCTTCACTCTCTTCTTTAACTTCCAACATCTTTCCTTTTGTTCAAATCGACCTGACTCCCACACAACATTTGTAGAATAACAGAAGGCAACCCTCATTTTTAAACATGATCCATTCCTTGCCATTTCTCCAAAGCACAGCCTCAGGTGTTAATTGCAGTCTCTATGCATGTTCTGTAGCATTCTGCCCAATTTTCCCTATTATGATTCATGTACAGACTCACGTGAGGAACTGCCCAAGTCTTGTTATCCAAGGTGCCTCTCCAAGGGAGACTCGGCATACTGGCCTCCACTAAGGCCTCAGGAATGGTGTCGATGGTGCAGTAGGAGACAGGCTGAGCTGTCTCCCACAGGAAGCAGCGGTGTAGGAACCCCAGGTCCACTGTTCTGTGCTAACGGCTTCTGTTCCACCCACAGCCACGTCGTGCTGCTGCTGCTGCCACAGGCGGCTGTGAAATGACTCTGCCTGCTTTGATTTCTGATTCGTGCTGCACCCAACCCAGAGGACCAGTTACCGGCTCTTCCCACATCTTCTGATCTCCCCTGCACACAGAAGAGCCAGGCCATGGAAAGCAAACAGAACATCAGTGCCCAGCCAACTGAGAAATATATAAAATACATCCCTACCACAGCCTTCCTCCCTCCACTCCTCCCAGTTTCCCCCACCTTCCCTCTCCCCAGATCCACTCCTCCTCTGTTTCCCTTCAGAAAAGAGCAGTCTTCCCAGGGAGAGCAACTGAACACGGCATAACAAAGATGGAATAAGTCTAGGCACAAACCCTCATATCAAGACTAGATGAGGCAACCCAGTAGGAGGAAACAGGGCCCCAAGAACAGGCAAAAGAGTCAGAGACAGCCCCTCTCCCATAAGAAGCCCGAGTTAAACAACCACAACATACATGCAGAGGACCTGGTGCCTACCCATGCAGGCTCCATGAGTGCTGCTTCAGTCTCTGTGAACCCCTATGAGCTCTGCTTAATCAATTCTGTGGGCTGTGTTCTCCTGGTGTCTCTGACTCCTCTGGCTCCTACAATCCTTCTTCTCCCACTTCCGCAGGGTTCCCTGAGCTCTGCCTAATGTTTGGGTGTGGGTCTCTGTATCTTCTCCCTTCAGCTGCTGTATTTCTTCATTCTTCAATTTAGTTTTGATTTTGAGACAAGGACTCACTATGGAGACTAGGCTGGCCTGGAAC